GGCCCTAGTATGTGTATGTATAAATGTAAGTTAGGGACCTTAGATTGTAAGCTCCTTGAGGGCTGGGACTTATGTGAATGTACAATGTACTCTATATGTAGAGCGCTGTGTAAATTGTCGGCACTATAAAAGTACCTGTAATAAACAATAATAATAGGCCACACTGCCTTGCCAAGGCACCTCTGTAAAGAGTAAACCTAACTCAAATCTAACAGAGCTCCTAACTAGGAATGTATATAGCCAGTAATAAATTGTAGCTTACAAAGTAAGGTGGATATGAGCAGGGCAATTCACAGAAGAATAAAATCTAAAAAAAAAAAAAACCTAACACACTTCCCAGCTATCAAGCAAGTTTACAAAAAGTTCCAGGGGGGTACATAGAAAAAAGGAGAGACAAGTGTTAGTGGTATGGGCAGCCGACAGTACATATGCAGAATCATTTGTTGTCCTCTTTAATTAATACAGTAATTACAATCACATTCAATCCACATACAGTAGATCTACAGAGGTTTCTGTGCTTTACAAAGATTAATGTGATTTGTCCAATCCCTTTGCAAGAAATGGAATCCATTCTTCACAGCTGTTGAATTTAAATGCAAACATTAGGATTGTGTAATGTGCTAATGAGCTTCTGTGTGTTTCCTTTCTCAGATGACTGTACAAGGGTTCAGCTGTGCCCTATTATCATATATCAAAATTCCCATCTGCTCTCATTCTTGCTTTCACTTCCCCTCCCTTTCATTACCCGCTGGAATGTCTGCTACATTTAAGAGTATGTCATCTGAAGCAAGATGAAGAGAAGAAAGCTAAACTTCAAAATTGGTTTAAACAATAGATTCAGTTGTTAACATTGAGTAAGGTCAAACATGTTAAATGTAACTAAATAAACTGAAATTTGGGTCATCAATTAGAATGACCCCATGCACCAGACAAGCAATAAAAGTGTTGACTACACACAAATATCTATTTGCACTGATCCACTTTACTAGCATTCATTTATTATTATACTATATATTATCTGCAATGCTTCATAGAGTATACAAAGATACTCACCCCCTCAGCGACCGTTTACTATTTAATGTTCCCACTACAGTCATACAGACTGTTTCAGAATGAAGAGTGGATACAGCTCTTCAATACACACTGCAGTATTATCCACTCCATGGCATGCATTTTTTGTACCATTCCAAAAATTCAGACCATGTTGAGGAGCCTGCAATGACCCATGGAGTTGTCGCTGCTTATATTGCTGCAGAGATAACTCCACAATTGGAGGATAAGCTATTCACATGACTCAGACAGGTCATGTGACAGGTTCTCCTAATCCCAGCTTTTTTTTTTTTTAAATATACCTCATTGCAAGTTTGTAAAACACATTGCTGGCTGCCTTGCATGGCACTTAAGCTGTCCCCTAGGTTCCAGACATTTGCAGTATTGCATTACACTATCCTCTCTGTGATTTTGGGTGTGATGGCTGGTATGTACTCACTTAGTTCCTTTAAGTAGCTCCATGAATCCAGAGAGCAGCTGCATGGACCTTTCTACTGTACAGGCTGATTCTAACTTGGATACTCCATGTAAGCCTAGCTGGGACTATGACTTAGTGATGTCCTGGAACTCTGTTCTCCTCTGTCTGTCCCTTTCTTCTCTCGCTCTTCATTCTGTCCCAGGAGGCAGAGCTCCCAGCACACAGTGTCCCCCCAGACGACTGAATCCCAGATTCCTTCCCTGTTTACAGCATGTTATCCCATACCTGTGAACAGGGGCGGACTAACCATTTGGCCACTCGGGCACTGTGAGGGCCCGGGTCAGTAGGGGGCCCCATGAGATGCCGCTGGTACCTTTAATTGGCTTTTTCATAGGCTTTTTTTTGGCTGTGGGTGAGGAAACAGGGGCCTCGTGATCCCCTATTGCCGGGGGCCCCATGAGTTGTCAGTCCGCCCCTGCCTGTGAATTAAAGTTTTGTGCACCAAATTAAAACACCTTTAGAGCACCATATCCTTATACCCTCTATTGCCATAGTTGGCATTGAAGTTTGGCAATTTCCTATATTTAAAATGTCAAGCAGACCTAAACAGAGAGACATAAGTTTTGCATGCAGAGGTAGTAGGAAGCAAGCAGGCATGGAAAGGCAAAGCAGTGCTCAGGGTGATGCAACTTACTGATCCAGCGATGAGGAACAGCAGTCAGAGAGGGTTTCATCCAGGGATAAGAGCAACTTGCAGAGGACTGGTGGGACAAGCCTTCCTATTCCAGCAGATAGCACTGCCCCAAAGGTAAAGGCCATTGTCAAAGCCCTTGCAAGCTTTACAATAATCTCTGTTGAGCAGCCACAATTGTATCTACTTAATGAATCCCCATCTGGGCCAAAGAATGGTCAAGGAATACATTTCCAATTTTCATAGGGGGAGTGTGGACAACCAGTGGAATGATGCTACACTCAAGCACCATTTGGGACTCTCCAGACTGCTGAAGGATGAGTTCGTGTGTGTCAGAATACCTGGTGAGTGATCAGTGATCTGACCCAACTGGCTACTCCAAATTGATTGTAGGCTTGGTAAATGGAAGTTTGCAAGGATGGGAACCTACCGCTTACCCAGGCTGACTCACTTCTCACCATTTGTAGCTTCAAAATATCTCACACCTGCAGTTTCTCCAGACCTCCGTGAACTGATGCAACTAGACCTGGCCCAACCTGCTTTGTAGTCTGATGAATACTAGCATCGCTCACTGGCGAACCTTTGCTTGTAATGAGAGGACTCTGGTCACTTCCTCCTCATTCAGTTGGATTTTAATCCTACTTTAACCCCTTAATACTGGCGCCTCCTGCCCCTTCAAGGGGTTTCTGATGCTGGGGGGCAGGGCGGGGTTTCTGATCATGTGACTGCCTGACTGGCTGTCACAGTGGTCACATGATCGGACATCTCCCAACCACAAGTAGAGATTGTGAGCTTTTGGTTAGCTGCTGTTAACTGTGTCCACTCAGCACAGTTGTGTTTACATTCTGGTATGCATATACATGGGGTTAAGGGCCACCTGCTGAGAAGCCACATATATGCATACTGTTGGTGCAAAAAGGTTACATGCATTGTTTGCTGAATTAATTGTAAAAGACAATAACAACAATTCATACCAACATGAGAAGAATAAATCGAATCCCTAAAGATAGTTAAACCCAGGACCCCGGTACCACAAAGCATAGTACTGTGCCCCAATCTGTTTGTTGTAGCACTGGATGTACAATGCTATTACTTTATGACAGAGGCTACTTTAAAATAACAGGCCAGCTAAATAAATAGACACCCAGCATATGCTGGTAATTTTTCCAGTACATACATAAGCAAAATAATCATTACTTTAGATGAATTTCAAGAATGCCAAATCATATCATTTCCACCTACCCTTTTGTATTAATAATGTTGATTAGCTTGTCTAGAACAATATAACATCGCCATCAGTGACTAGAAAACTACAATTCCTTTCCTTTGAGCTGTATATTTTATGGCAGCTATAACAAGCTAATGAATACCCACATTAAACATATAATAGGTATTTTATGAAATGAGTAATGCCCTCCCATTAAGTTTGCCGTCCTAACTGATTCCTGAATATATTGTAACGGAATAGAGCAGACACAAAGTCATTGCAACCAACAAATTTTCCTATCATTAGGTTATAACTTATAACATTGCAATTATTTAAACAATAGTTGAACACCAGAGAAAGAAGAAAATCATACATAGCTGGTTAAGTCTGAGAATTTTAATTTTATCACCTTATTGAATGTGAATAGTAATGAGAAATAAAACTATATAGGCATGAGTTTCATTACCATTCAGTAACACATATTTAGTCTAACACTGTGGTGCCCAACCTGCCACCTCCGGCCCTTTGGCACATATTGTATGACTCTTGGTGCCCCTTCATACAGCAGGCAGTGTTTTGCTCATGCAAAGTGGCTGTAAAGGTAGAAGTTTTTTTTACCTTAATGCATTCCCTGCACTAAGGTGAAAAACCTTTTGTATGCAGCCCCCCAAGAGCTGTGCCCAAGAGCAGCGGCACTCATCTTTCTCTCCTCACTGGACAGGGAGGCAGCGTGAGAGACTTTAGCTCCTGCTGCTGTCAATCAGAACCAGTGAGCAGAAAGCGGAGGTGGGTCCACAATGCACTCTGTGAATCAAGGGACAGAGTGTGGCTCAGTTATTGAGCCTGTACGAGTACTGCTTGCTATGGGGGCACTTGGCAGGGAGGAGGAGCCAGGATCACTGGTGGGGGACCAGAAGAGGAGGATCGGTGCAACACTATTGCACTATTGACTTTAAAGTGATATTAAGGGCATATCACTTTTAGGTGATATTAACCACTTCAAGTCCAGACACTTTCACCCCCTTCCTATCCAGGCCAATTTTCAGCTTTCAATGCTATCACACTTTGAATGACAATTGCGTGGCCATGCAACACTGTACCCATAGGAATTATTTTGCATTTTTTTTGAGACAGATAAAACTTTATTTTGGTGGTATTTATTCACCACTGGGATTTTTATTATTTTGCTATATAAATGAAAAAATCCAAACATTTTGAAAAAAAGTGTTTTTCTTATAAAATTTTGCAAATAAATAATATTTCTTCATAAATCTTGGTCAAACTTTATGCAGCTAACTTTTTTAGTAAAAAAATAAAATAACCAAAATTAGTTTATAACCAAAAATTATAATTTTTCAAAAATGTTTTTTACATTTTTATTTTATTTTTTATATTATTATTTATTTTTTTTACATACTGTCACCCTAGCAGCACAGTGTCACCATAGTGACACTGTACTACTTGTGGGGGGTGATGAATTTTTTTTTTTTTACACTGATTGCTTTTACGCCCATAAAAGCTGTAAAAGCAATCATTTCTCCTTATCTCTGGCTGCATTGTTGCAGCCATTGAGGAATACTGTGAGAGCTGTGATTGGTCACAGCTTGTCACATGGTACAAGGCTGTTGTGAATAGCCTTGTACCATGTGACCTCTGTGATCATTCACAGATTTCACTAGTAGTAAGCAATGATGTCAGCAAGTGACATCTTGCATACTACTATTCATGTGATCACTGATTGGCCAATCAGTGATCACATGATCGGGACCTCACACAGAGGTGTTCCTCAAAGCGGGCACCGGATTGTGGTGCCGCGCACTTCCAGGGAGCACGCACAGGCAGTGAATGCAGAGGCCTTTTATAAACGGCCACCCGCTCCTGCACTGCTCCCCATCCGGCCGTTTATGTACATGGGCTGGACGGGAAGTGGTTAAGTCATGCCTCCACACCCTCCTCACGGGAGTTTGACTAACAGCAGCAGGAGCCCATTGGTCCCGCTGCTATCAGTGTCTTCTGTGAGACCAGGAAGTGAGAGGAGTGATGCTGCAGACGGGACAGTGCTGGATCAGTGAGAGGAGTCATGTAAGTGTTTAGGGATGGGGGTGGGTAGGACATGTGGTGAGGAAATTTTTAGCAGTCAAAGCATCAAGGCACTGGAATACAACAATAGACCTTAGGGCCATTTTTAAGTGCTTCTAGTGGAAGAAAAATATGCTTTAGACTAGATTTAAGTGCTTAAATGCTCTTATTTCTTGCACACAATCTTACTTTTTTCTGTGCTGTCCATCCCTTTTGTCTTTTTACATTTTCTTTTCCTCAGTTCTTTTATAATGGATCTTGCTGAGGGAAATATCAAATGTGACACAGGTCATTTTTAAGGGGGCTATAGGAAGAACAAATGAGAATCATTCATTTTGTAACTTAATGTAATAGTAGTGATCTCTAGGAGTCTCAAACGAAGGAAGAGATTTACTAAAACTGGAGCATGCAAAATCTGGTGCAGCTCTACATTGAAACCAATCAGCTTCTAGATTTTATATTGTCAAAGTTTAATTGAACAAGCTAAAGTTGGCATCTGATTGGCTACCATGCATGTGACTGTCTCCTAAAATCAATCTCCAGTCTCTGATAACTCATAGAATAATATATATATATATATATATATATATATACACATACACACACCCACTGTATATCCCAGACTGCCAAACAAATAATGTGCAAACAAATTACATATGTTGCAGCTAATCCACTGTCATGTGTTTCCACATCAAAAATTAAAAAAGAAATAGCAAAAAAGTGCAGCACAACAAAATGATCAATCTATATATAATATTCAATACAAAATTTGTATATCTGGTCACTGCAGTGAAACAAGACGGGGGGATTTTGCACGGATTTGGAGGATATTTCTGACTGTTTGGTGGAATATACTGTGATAAATTGTATTTCATTTTTTGTTTATATATATTTTTTGTCATGAATCTGAGAATCAAATTAATATTTGAAAATAATCACATGGACACTTTGTTGGTGATATAAGCATTTTTATTGTAAATATTGCACTGGACTGATTAGTTGACTTATTTTAATATTTTTTTGTATTATATTTCTGATGTGTGTATTTTTTATTTTAATAGCACAGAATTTTATATATTAATTTTATATTGAATAATCTATATAGATCAATCATTTTGTTGTGCTGCACTACTAACTCCTATTGTAATGTCCACAGACTATGACAATCTCCTGTAGCATGTTTTCAGTACCTGACTATCTCTTATAGTATGCCAGTAGGCGCTGACCACTTCTGTTGTATGCCTGCAGACAACTTTCTATAGAATTACATTCATTGTATATTATGTGGCCCTCCTAGGGGCCATACTTGTGGGGCCACTATAACAAGTAAAATGACTACAACTGTTGTAACCAGTTGTACAGATCGTAACTGACCATCCTGGCCAACATGTGAAAGTAATTTGTGAATGGCTAATACTATCCAGGAAAAACTGTAACCATACCCTCTCAACTTTCTGAGATGGAAATGAGGGACACCTATAAGCAAAGGTATGTATTCATAGGACACACCCCCTGCCATGTCCCTTACAAAAAGAATTAAAACATTAAAAATGATTGGTTAAACACACAAGTGCATTTTTACTACTGCTATTGCTTTATATTGGCTTTTGAACTGTACAAATGCAACAATTTAGAAATTTGAAGAAAGGTTTAACACTATAAAACAACTTTTGATAGATAAAAAGTGCATTGATAATAATTTTATATACATCAGACCAAAATGAGGGACAAATGAGGAGGAAAAAGGACAGACAGAGGGACTTTGTTCCAAATGAGGGGACAGTCCCTCAAAATCAGGGGACAATTGGGAGCTATGCTGTAATTGTGCTAAAATCAGAAAGTCTACTAAGCGGACCTTTAAGCAATGTGTAACCTGGACCTGGTTTGAGTTATACTGTAGCTCAGTGCTACAGGCAATGGCTGGCCTTCTGCCTGAAAGAAAGGAGGATGTGAAAAAGTCAAAGGATCCTGACTCATCAATGCAATGATGTCTCGTTTTGTCTTCCAAAGAAGAATAGAATAAGAATTAGGAAGCATGGGATCCCTGAGACAGGAATGTATATATTGCAATAAGGACCTTACATGGGGTTTTGAAAAAAAATCATATAATTAGGGAGGGTTTCCTGACATATGTTATAACATTTACTGGCTCTATCCAGAAAACCAGAAAAAAAAATGTGCCTGGAACTAAGCTTTTAACCATTTGACTACCTGAGCCTTTTTTCTCCCTAAATACTCCTGAGTACCAGTCCCTGAGTTCTAATGCACTCTACATTGCTTTTGGGGGACAGGTTGGGCTTTAATTTAGCAGCAGAGTTCGATGCATATGTTTTTTTTTTTCTGTTTCCTTTATTGGGAATAAATAGTAAAAAAAATTAGAAAAAATGCAAGTTCCTGCAGTTTTTTTGTCCAATGCATTTTTGTAATTTGCACACCAGCATATACTATAATTACTGCAAAATATAAAAATCAACAAAGTCTGCTTATTAAAATGATATAACATTAGTGTGACTGTTATGTAATGGTATTCATGTAATGCAGAATGGTAAATCTAAAAGGGAATGTTTGCATTTTACATTAAGAGAGCTTTATATTGCCATACATGTTAAAAACTGCATAAATTGTTAGCATAAAATTAAGAAAATATTAAGTCAAATTGACAAGGGCAGAATTAAGCACAATGGTGACATTTTCCAGCTTTGCGATTGCAAAAAATTGAAGATTAATTTGGGTGGGATATTATTTTTTGTTTTTCATTTTAATACATATGTTGTCATCTCTCTCTATCATATTTTTTTGTTATATTTACACTTTTTCTTCTTCATCCGGGTCTAGACCTGGTCAATGGAGACCTGATCTAGACCCCCCTGTAGCTTTAATAGAACCCAAGCTTCTGGTAGTGATCTATTGTTGGCTGTAGTCATCCAGCAATAGATCCCTATAGCAGTGATCTACTGCTGTACGGAGATGCTAGCCAGAGCTTCAACAGCTCGGCCTGAGTCTTTGTACTGACAGGTAAATCTGTAACACCATTCCTAACATCACTAAACTTTCTAGGTAAACAAGAGTATTGTGTTAACACTCTTCTACAGTGAGCAATATGAAGCATTCTTTAGAAGCAACAGTAGTCCAGGAGTTGAGCATTTCAGCTCCAAGGATTTTCGCTGGATTTCAGCTGTCACTGGAAGTTGATGGCTCCAGTACTAGATGACATCAAGACCCACAGAAGTAGCCAAAACAGCTGTCCCTGTACTGGGACCTAAGTGGTTAAGCTGTTATGCTTTATAGATTCTGGCTAAGGTACTGTATAGAGAAATCATAGTAACCTCCCTAGCGGTCTGATTATGTCCATATTTCTGTGCTCAAAGTGGTAAATTTTTTTGCATGGAAATATGTTTTTATTTTTAATGTAGGCCTGTAATTTTTAGGAATAACTCACTGAAATCTGTCCGAACAAGATTCTAGTAAACATCCCAGGTATGTTAAATTTTGAAACACGAAATCATAAATTATAGTTTAATAAATAATCATAAAAAATAATAATATAATAATACATTTAATTCGATAATGTAATCAAACCAAAAACAATTTGAAATATAGTTGAATATAAGTATGCACATCACTGAGCAAAGTCGCAAAATCGTTTTCAGTGTCTGATAACAAATTTCCACACGAATCATTATCACTCAATTCTGCAAGTGGTTCTAATTTACTATCGCTGTTCTCTAGCTGGTCTAAAACCGCTTTTGACCTAAAGGGACACTTTTTGGAAGCCATGGACATTTCTCAGTTTCCAAGCAGAAAGAACAGTAAAAATGCAGGCAGGGCACAGGACAAAGCACTAGGGACAAAATGTATGTAAATGGTTTGATACAGTAATGTTTTACTATGTGAATTTAGTGAATGTCACTTTTACAACTTTCCAATTTCCTGCCAGTTCCGTCCCCCGTACGTCCCGACGTCGCAGGGAATGGAACCCAGAAGACAGATGCCGGCATCGGCTGGAGGACATTGCAGGGGACACTGCAGGAGGGACATTGTGGGAGCGCAGGACAAGGTAAGTGAAGAAGAGATCCCGGAGCAGCGCTGCAGGGCATTCTCGAGTGTAGCTCGGGGTTACCACTTGTGGTGCTGAAACTTTACCCCGAGCTACACTCAGGAATACTGCCAGGGAGGTTAAAGTGCATCTGTGTCCAGACTATAGACATTCATTTACATACTCTTAACAAAGTAGCAAAAGCATCCCCTCACCGCTGTATCTGCTCTACAGTGCCTGTACCTATAGAGCTTAGCAAGAGATTGTTTTAAAGTGGTTCTAAAGGCTCATTGTTTTTTACCTTCATGTATTCTATGCATGAAGGCAAATAACCTTTTGCAAGCAGCAGCCCCCTCAACCCTTTCTGACACTTACCTGAGCTCACTCTCCATCCAGCAATGTGCACAAGAGCCTCATCTCTCTGAGGACTCTCCCTCCTCATTGGCTGAGACAGAAGTCGGAGCCAATGAGAGGGGGAGGGACCAAGCCATGGCTGTGCGTGTGAATGTACCAGCAGAGGAGCTTAGGAGCAAGCCTGCTTGGATGCCCCCATAGCAGACTGCTTGCTCTGGGGGCACTTGGCAGGAGAGAGAGGCCAGGAGCACCAGCAATGGACCCAAGAAGAGGAGGATCGGAGCTTCTCTGTGCAAAACCACTACACAGAGCAGGTAAATATGACATGTTTGTTATTTAAAAAAAAAAACTAACTTGCTTTTAATATTACTTTAAATCTCATGTACTGCTTATGAAAATACTAGAGTGC